ACAGGTCTGTGGCCTGTTAGGAACCAGGCCACACAGCAGGAGGCGAGCAATGGGCCAGCGAGCAAAGCTTCATCCGTATTTGCAGCCGCTCCCCAGCGCTAGCATCACCGCCTCAGCTCCACCTCAGATCATCAGGCATTAGATTCTCATAGGAGCACCGGTCCACCGGTCCCTGGGGCCAGAAAGGTTGGAGACTGCTGTACTAGAGGACCCCCACCACAGCACGAAAACCCCTAGTGTCTCTAGACATCGCTGCATGTGTCCTGGTTGCTGGGGTAGGTGGTAGTTGAGAACCCCACGTGGAGTCCAGAGTCCTCCCTCCTTCCAGGAAGGTGCCCTGTCTCCCATCTCACCTCCACCGTGGCTGCCAGGTATGGAGCAGCTGCTAATAAACATCTTTAACCCATTTCCTGTTTGCTCTGAGAATATTCACCAGCGGCACTTGTGGCTGCAGCGTTTACCCCAAGATAACTCGCGTATTACAGTCCTAACCTTACCCCCAAAGTCTGCCATGGAATATCTCGCTTTTATTATTATTTTCATATTGCTCTAATATATCGATAGTCTTTGGAAACAAATGACATTATTTTGTTTATAGCATTCTGTTTTTACTAGTGGTATTTCCGTTTACAAAATATAGTAGTTCTCGATTGCCGAAAATGGCAGATCCTGGAAAACGTAGCATTCCTACGCATGATGTTAAATGATTGTCGGCAGTGAGGTGCACTTTTTTTCCCAAGTGGGAAAAGGTTTAAATGGAAGTGTGGCCGCCTCACTTCTTGCTGCCCTGGAGACAGGCAGGTGGCCTTCTCACCAGCTCTCCAAACCTCTTATCACCCACCTGCTGTTAGGGCTCCAGCCCCCGTGGAAGCTGAGGGCAGCACAGAGCCACTACTCCTGAGCTGTCACCCCTGAGCTCCTTCAGTCTGAGCCAGCCCTATGGGGGCCGGGCCAAGTGCTACACAGAGCCAGCAGACCTGGTGCCTGCTCCATGGCACCCATCGAGAGAGGGGGCAGGCAGCACACTCAGCCAGCATTTGGTCAGGTGCCTGGTGGAGCTGTGGATCTCCAAATTAGGCCAGCATCCAGCACAGGCAGGCCGAGCAAGCCCAGGAACTCTGCCACAAGTGTACGTGTGTGCTGGTCACTCTCAGGCAGTTCACTCTCAGATCGCTTCCTCCGTCCTTGCACAGTGGGCACGCTGTGCCTGTGAAAGGCGAGAAGCAGGCAACAGGAAAGGGGGACAGCTTCAGGGAGACTTGTGGTGACTTGATTGGGGCCCAAAGCAGCTGAATTCTTGACTGAGCTTTGCCTGCCCTTCCCCACCAAACTGCCCCACCCACCTTACCTCACCACATCCTACCTTGTGCCAGGAGAGAAGTGAAAGGTTTGCTGGCTGTGCTCAAGGTTTTGGGGTCTGGGGGTACTGTCCCCTTGTGCTCTTGGACGTATGCTTTCCTCCAAGGGACTTTGGGAGTGAGGTCCTGGACAACCGAGGGAGGTCCCTTTAGGACAGCTGAGCCACATCTGTTTTAGGAATAGGAGCCTCATGGGCTGGTTGGGAGGGCCCTGACCAAGGTCCCAGGTACAGCTGGGTGAGATGCTTCAATCTGCATTGAAGCTGGAAACAGCTAGTATTTCCCTGGGGTTTCAGAGGCTGGCTGCAAAATCAAGCTGTAAATCCTAGGAAATACCATTCCATGGCAGGAATTTTGTCCCCAGCATGACTGGCTCAAGGAGATGGCTGCCATTTACATGTCAGAACTCTGAGCTGGTGATCTCTTGATAAAAACATTGAAGGCCTCCCAGGACTCAGGGTCGAAAATATCTGGTTCTTACCTGAAAGCCCCAGGCTGTATTTCAGGCCTTGAATCTTATCCTCAACAAGAGCAGTAACCATTTCTCTGCTTCGTAGTGTCTCCAAACCACATGTGCGTGTGCCTGCGTGTGTGTGTGTGTGTGCACACACACACAATGTCACTAAATCAGGATCATGCTCGAGGTGGGAGCCAGCTTTCACAGCTGCACCGATATCTATCCCAGCATGTGGAAAAAGAAATCCAATCTGAATAATAAACAAGGGATTAAAAAAACCTATATTCTAATAAGAAAATGGGGCAGATTAATGTGAAAATTACAAATTCAAGACAAGCCAGCATAATTTATAAGGAACCTTTATCATGAGAGACCTTTAAAGTTCCGAAAGTGGTTGAAAGAGCCTGACCTGGCAGCACCGTGGGCTGAGGCGAGGGATGGGGGATATGTGACCTTTTGGAGATCTGGGCTGGTAGGAGCCATCCTGGGCAGCTCCTCCAGACTCTAGGAGCACCTGCAGTGTCCTAGGGTGGTGTGGACTCGGGCTCATGCATGCAGTACCCAGAGGCAGGTCCCACACCCCTGGGCAGGTGGCCTCACCCCCAGTTTCCCTGACTGTAAGACAGATGTTCCTCTCCCTTCCCCACAGAAGAAGTTGTGGGCAAGGACCTAGGATAGACTGGGCTCTGCAGACACAAAGGAATGCACTTTCCAGAACATCTCACAGGGGAGCAGCTGGGAGGGGGCACAGAGGGGCTCTGAGCACTCTCGAGGTACTGTTGAAGAGCTCACTGTCCTGAGCTGGCTCTCAGTACTGCCCCCACCCACCCTCCTGACCACCCTGTGACCAAGCTGTCCTGGGACTGGACCTCTGAGACAGATTATGTGCAGGGGGCACTCCGGGTGAGTTGCCAGCCACTCTGGAGCCTGTTCTTCTGGTCACAAGACCATGGCCTTGTGGGCGGGCTCATGGCTTCCATGTCCATCCTCCAGCTCAGGAGATCAAAGGCCCAAGTGCTCTTGAAGGATCAGGACAAATAAGCTCCCTGGCAGATTCTAGGATAAGAGACCCATAAGCAGGACCGCGTTTGTTGTGGGAAATCTGGTGCTGCCTTTGAAGTGCGGGCTTCAATTAGGTAAAATGACTGGCTTTATGGGAAGCTCCCTTTCACAGGTCTCTGTGAAAACCTCACATACTGTCACCCTGTCCTGTTCCCAGGATGACTGAGGCTGTCACCCTCATGGACGGCAGGGACTCCTTTGGGGTCCTCGGGCTCCTGTGGGGTCTTCCATCCCCCTGTCCCCCCTGGGGACCTGCTGACCCACTGGCCATGGGTGACATTTACCTGTGCATAGCAGCCCCAGGGCCACAGTGGGACGTGGGCAGCAGCTTCTCATCAGGATGGGGCACAGAGTCTCACATATAGAACCACAGGACTCTGTTAGAAACAGTCCCCAAACAGTCCACACTTGACCAGTAGTTCAGCTCACTCCTCCAGGCGTCGGGTGGGCAGGAGGTGGAATGGGTGCCTCTGTTCCCATTGGTGCCTTTGCTCTTATTTTAAGCCCTCCTTCCTGGAAGGCAGTCACCTGTGAGGTGCATGTCTGTGCCACATCCATCCCGAGAGCCAGGAACTCAAAACCCAGGGTCAAACGACCCTCATCAGTGGAGAGCAGTGTCTGTTGGCACTGGCTGATGGGCTGGCCCCTCTTCACAGAGCTACTCAGGTTCAGGCCCGAGTGTTCCTGAGCCATTTTACAGATGATTAACAGCTTCAGAAAGGGCCAGAAACTGCTCTAGTAGCCAGAGATCTTTCTGAGATACCCACATTTCACAGCGTCTGCTGTACTGGGCTGAATGGTGGCCCCTAAAACACATGGGACCTGTGACTGCACTTATTTGGAAAAAGGCCTCAGATGTTATCAAGTAAAGTAAAGATCAAGATGAGACCATCCTGGATTAGGATGTGCCCAAAATTTAACAAGCCTTCTTACAAGAGACAGAAGAGGAGACACCGGAAGTTCCCGTGAGGAAGGAGGCGGAAACTGGGATGATGCAGCCACAAGCCAAGGATACCTGGGGCCACCAGGAGCTGGAAGAGGCAGGCCTAGAGCCTCCAGAAGGGGCACGGCCCTGCGACACCTGGATTTCAGACTTCTGGCCTCTAGCACTGGAAAAGAAGAAGCCTTTATTGTTTGAGCCCCCATTCTGTTGTCCTCTGATAGGGCGGCCCTGGGACCCTCACATGTGGACCTTCCTGAGCCACAACATAGATCAGATGGGCTTGTCCGTCCATAGGCTCCAAAAGAGGGAGGCTGTGTGCCATGGAATTTAGGGTCTGTTGCAGGTAGAAATGGTCAGCAGAGAAACGGACTGAGCTGTCCAGACCCCACCCCTATGTCCAGGAGCCTAGTGCATTGCCCATCTGGATTAAGGAGCAAGGCTGAGATTCACCCCCCAGGAATACCTATCCAGAAGGTGTTCATGCGGCACTGTCCCCGGGAAGAGACTTTCCATGAAGTCACAGCACCATCAGCCCACACTGTCCTCTCATTCAGCCCAGTTTCTTGGAGGCTGTTGTGTTCCAGGGATGGATCTGAGTCATTTTCAGGTCATTTCGTGCTCTCAGTGGCCATGAGGAGGGGGTATTCAGAATCCTGTCACACAGGTGAGCAGCCTGGCCTAGGTTTAGCAGCTCTCAATCCTCAGGACCCAAAGGGCTAGAACGAAGCTCAGACCCAGGTCCCCCTGACCTGAGGCTCACATCATGGGGTCTTGTATACTCTGAGGTGATCAGGGCTGATCTGCCCCTCCTTCCTGACCTGCACTCCTGTGGAAGCAGACATGTCCCTGTACCTGCCTCAGGAGGCTGGCACTCAAAGTGGCTGAGGGGCTGCAGAGCTGCCATCCCCCTCCCAGGTGGACCGGGGCCCCCTTGGTCACATTCCCCCAGGTCACGGCAGAATCATGCTCACCTTGCCCGCATTCCCAGCCGCAGGTTAAGTCTGGAGAATGCGTCGGTGGCCCAGCAGGTGCATTTAATTTGTCGCGGTAGAAAGCCTTCACCCCACCGGTTTTGTTTGTTACTGTATTTTGCTCCAGGAGCATTCTGGAACATGTAGCATGACCTCTGTGCAGCGCTCTGTAACCCAACATTCTTTTCTGCCTGTTTGGCCTTTGCTAGGTGATGTGTCCAATCTGGATCCCAAGTTCTCATTTGAAGGCACCAAACTGGACGTGGGGAACATCGTGTTGGCGTTATACAGCGGTCTCTTTGCCTATGGGGGATGGTAAGTTCCAGAATGTCTGGGTCCTCGGGCCTTGGGACATGCAGGCCGGGCCCGGAGGTGTCCAGAAATCCAAGACATCTCTTGGCTGCCCACAGGCAGTTTTAGAGAGTTGCAGGAAACACTCTTGGATCTGTTCTGAGCCCCTCACATCCTGAAAAAGCACAGAGTGGATGCCACAGCAGCCCTCGGTTATTTCTACACTGTGTCTTGGCCTCTGAGAAGGTGGCCCTATAAGTTAATCTTTGCTGACAGGTGTGAAGCACTTGGGCTCAAAAGCCTGGGCCTGGTGGTTCTCGGCCTTTTCCCCACCGAGAGCAGAATGCCTGCCTGGAGCTTTCCCTGTGAACTTTCTGTTCTCTTGCGTCCCCAGCTGTGGCCCTTCTCTCAGGCCGGGCTATACTAGGCCACGAGAATGGTTGCCACGTGGCAGGGAAATGGAGAAGGTGCTGGAAGACGGATCGGGGAGAGGACAGGGGTGATTAAGGCGATGGGCCCGTTGGAGGCATAGGTGTCCCGAGGGAGCAGGACTGTGCCCTTGCCCCCAAGTGCACACCTAGAGCGGCCCCCAGTGGTGGGTGAGGGGTTTTCTCTCTAGGGGCCCAGAGCGGCCAGCAGGGGCTCCCATGGGTTCTGCGTTCTTATTTTTCCCCTAATGACTTTGGAAGGATTGTATAATTAAATTCTCTTCTTTAAATTCTAGGAATTACTTGAATTTTGTCACAGAGGAGATGATCAACCCATACAGGTACACGTGTGAACAGACATTTTTTAATTTATTATTTCAGTGTCAGAGAAGGAAGAATCCTGGTTCTGCTGGGAACCCAGCCGTGGGCCCAGCACAGTTGCTGACGAAAGCAGTGCAGGGCCTTTGGGGAGGGGTCTTGGGGTGAAGAGGTGCTGGGTTTTAGCCTTAAGCCAGCCGCACAGTGGCTGTGTGACCTTGAACAAGATACCCTTGAAATGTGCAGGAGCACCCATTTCACAGATGGAGAGCAGAGGCTGGCAGGGTCAAGTCACTAGCCCAGGTTCACACAGCTGCTCAGACCCAGGCGCCAGCTTCCAGCTGGTAATTGGTGATGGTGACAGCTTCCCTGCTTACCACCTTCCTCATGCAGTGAGGCTCAGAACCAGGTCCTGTGTGTTGGGCAGCCATTAGGGTTGGTTCTGTTTGGAGCTGCACTTTGGTGACGTGGCCTCTCGTTCCTTCCAGAAACCTGCCCCTGGCCATCATCATCTCCCTCCCCATCGTCACCCTGGTGTACGTGCTGACGAACCTGGCCTACTTCACCACGCTGTCCAATGAGCAGATGCTGACATCCGAGGCTGTGGCCGTGGTAAGATGCCCCCTGCCAGTGTCTACCCAGATCACCAAGAGGCTGAGGCCGGCCCTGCCGCCAAACGGTGCTCCTGCTTGGAGGGGTTGAGCCGTGCTCTGCCAGGCCCACTAGAGAGTGGGGAGCACTGGTCCTCAACTCTGGCTGCTCGTGAGAATCCCAGTGGGCTTTAAAAGTGCTGGTGCCCAGGCCGCACCCTGGGCCACTTTTAAATCAACATGTCTGCAGCGGTCCCGGCATCAGTCATTTTTAAAGTCAAGTATGGAGGGGGTGAATCCATTGTGGTGACTTGGGAGGCCCATTTCGGTGAGTGAGGTCTGCAGCCCAGAGCACAGGGATGTAGGTCTCGGCAGCCTTTCCTTACCTTCTTTCTATTTACATACTGAGCCACCTCTGCTGGGCCTTCTGTACACAGGATTCGGTGGTGGGGGAGCAGCACCCCCAGATCCCATGGTGGCAGCCAGCTGAACATCTACATTATCAGCCTTCCAAACCAAGCAGAGGGGGGCCCCAAATAGAACCAGTGGGCTTTTGAATGCCCTGCGGGGATGCCCATAGGCTCACTTTCCACAGTGTCCTCACCAGCAACTTCAGCAGGTGAGGGTCTGTGCCCACCCATTCCAGCTTCTGAGTAAATACTCACTGAACTATGCTCTGGGCTAGGTGCTGGGGACCCAGCCAGAGACAGGACAGTATTCCCTCGTAGAGTGGACATGTGGGCTGGAAGAAAGACCGGGGACCTGGTCAGCCTGGTGTAGAGAACCAGCGTGTGGGCGTGAAGAGTGAGGCACGGGTGCTATTACAAAGAAGGCTCTGTCCCTGGAGCAGCCCCCAAAGTCCAGACTCCAAGGGGTCACTCATGTGCAGACGTCTTACGAGAAGTGTGTGGGGGGTGTGCGGACAAGTGAGCCGGGGCGGGGCCGTGAGGACAGCACACGGTCCAGGTTGGGGCAGCCTCTGCTGGGTGTCGTGGGGCATAGGGACTCACGCTTGGTGTCTGTCTAGGACTTCGGGAACTATCACTTGGGCGTCATGTCCTGGGTCATCCCCGTCTTCGTGGGCCTGTCCTGCTTCGGCTCCGTCAACGGGTCCCTCTTCACGTCCTCCAGGTGAGCCCACCCAGAGCCACCTTCCCGTACTCGGGCTCCGCGGGAGCCGGGGCAGGAGCAGGAGGGAGGCTGAGCTGGGGAGGCAGTGCCGATGCCACTTTTTAACATTAGCTTTAAAAGTTCTCTTGTTAGATTGAGTAATATATAGCTGTAAAAATGTCCCAATAGCACAGAAATAAAGGACCAGGAACTCTTACCTGCCCAGAGGTGGCACAACTGCTGGGTCCTTCCAGATTCTTTCATGGGTTCATTGTGAACCTTGTCCAGGCAGACGCTGGAGATGAGCAAGACCTCTGAGTTTTCTCCTGTGCCACCTGAGTAGGTCAGGGACACCAGGAAGCCCCTGGGAGGGAGCCTAGCTCTTGACAGCCTACCTAGGTTGCTCTAGGATGAGGCTGACTGCCTGCTCTTCTGTCCACAGACTGTTCTTCGTGGGGTCCAGGGAGGGCCACCTGCCCTCCATCCTCTCCATGATCCATCCGCAGCTCCTGACGCCCATGCCCTCCCTTGTGTTCACGGTAAGCCGGCACCATCCAGTGCCTTCCTTCCCCAGGAGCATTGAAAATGGATTGAAATAGAAGACTGGGGTATCCCTTGAGGATCATCTCTGGAGCAGGAGGCCCGGGGGTGGTGGGCAGAGGCCACAGGGTCCACCTGCATAAGGCCCTCCCAACTTTGCCTGGTGTCACCTGGGCAGCAGGTCGAGGCAGAGACTGAGTTTTAGATAAGTTAATGGTGTTTTCTCATATTGGGCCCTTGTCTGCATGCTCCATTAAACTCAAAAGGGTGCTGGATTTTTTTTGAGCTTTTAATTCCAAAAATAATACATGGTAGTCATAAAACAACTTTGAATAGTCTGGCATGTGTGAAACAAGCTCCACGGGGAAGCATGGTTTATAGGTGGCTTGATGTGCCCCATGCCTCTCTGGAGCTCTGTGGTGTGTTAACAGGTGTGCCCAGCGTTTGTGCTGTTATTTATTTATTCATTCATTCATTCATGCCTGCAGCACCTGATATTCCTACGTGGCGTTTGTATTTTTATTGAGATCACATTGTGTGCATTTTTCTTCACCTTGTCTTAGTCTTTCTGTGCTAGTACACGCAATTTTATTAGTTCTCTATTGCCATGTAGCAAATCAGCCCAAACTGAGTAGCTTAAACAGAAAGCATTCACTGCCAGTTTCTGTGAGGTAGGAACTGGGACTGAACAGCTCGGTGGCCTGGTTCAGGGTCCCTCGTGAGGTAGTAACAAGATGGTGGTCGGGGCTGCAGTCCTGTCTGGACGCTCGGCCAGGGCTGGAGGACCCCCTTCGAGGATGGCTCCTCTCATGCCTGTGGGCAGGAGGCCTCAGTTCCTCAGGGTGTGGGCTTCTACAGGGCTGCCTGAGCTTGCTCAGGACATGATGGCTGGCTGCCCCCTGGGCGTGAGAGCCAAGAGGGACAGCAAGGAGAAAGCCACCATGTTTTTATGACCTAGCCCCAGGAGTCACACTTGCCATTTCTCTCATTCTGTTTGTTAGGAGTGAGTCAGTAAGTATAGCCTGACTTAAGGAGAGAGGACTAGGCTCTACCTAATGATACTGGGACATGTTTAAAACCACACAGAGTTCAACCACAGTTTCAAAACTGCTGTATGGTACTCAGTGGCCTGGATGTACCTGGCCAATTTACGTGGGCCCTGTGCCATGTTCTTGGATTGGTTCCCAGACGTTGGGGTTAAAAGTAATGCCGCAGTAAGCGCTGGGTTTAGGAGTCTGTTCCCTTCCCACTCTCAGTGGGGCCTTTGTTTTCTGAGAAATCGTGTGTTTCTCAGACTGTGTCTTCCTTAAAGCAAGAGGGTGCAAGTACGGTCAGCCCACCCCGCAGGCATCTCCCCACATCAGGGCACCCTCCGTCGTCTGTGGCCGTCCTGCTCCTGGTGCTGGCCCAGGTCCTTCGAGGGCTCACGCTGCCCCATCTCTCTGCTTTCAGTGTGCCATGACCCTGCTGTACGCCTTCTCCAGCGACATCTTGTCCGTCATCAACTTCTTCAGCTTCTTCAACTGGCTCTGTGTGGCCCTGGCCATCATCGGGATGCTGTGGCTTCGCTACAAGAGGCCCGAGCTGGAGAGGCCCATCAAGGTGAGGGCCCAGCTGGTCACGGGCAGCCTAGGCCTGACGCATGACCAGGGCTGGTGGGTCATGTGCTGAAGAAACAGGGTCCCAGTGTCCCCAGGGGCCCTGAGTGGGGAGCTAGCGCCATACAGCTTTTTGGTTCTGCCCTTCTGGCATGTGCCTGGCCAAGCCACTGTCCCACTCCTGGTTGCTACCTCCCCTCTGAACCAGGAGTCAGAGTGTCTCCTGCAGAGGGTTCTGGTGAGAAGCCACCAAGGTAAACATGTGAAGATGCTTCCAAACTCGACATGGATGGCAGTCAATTCAGTTGACAACTGTCTATTAGGGACCTGTCTAGTGCCTGCCAAGTGTGTGATTCCAGGTGTGGGGTTCATCAAAGGACAAAATAGATGCCCCCAGATCCCTGCCTTTCTAGAGCTTATATTCTAGCAAGAATTAGAAGCAATAAATAAGAAACCTGGTGGGAGGGTGATGAGCGTAGTATGGGTGGGCAGGCAGGAAGGGGGAGGTGCCTGACTGGCCTGGGGGCTGCTGAGCAGGACAGCTGGGTGATTGTGAGTAGGTGGCATGTGGGCAGAGGTGAGGTGCCCACATGCTGTCTGGGGAGGGCCAGGCCCTAATGTGTTCGGGGGCACTGTCTGGGGTCGGAGGAGGAGACCATATGGAGTGGGTGGGAGGTGACATCTAAGCCCATACAGCATGGGTGCTGCCAGGACTGGCTCAGCCTTATTGGGTAGCGGTGTTTTAGCACTAGACTATCTGCTGCACCTGGCCTCAGGCAGATAAGCCTCTCCTCATTAAGCAGTACTGAGGGACAGTTGCCCAAGGGTCACCTTGTTTCTTCGAAAAGAGGTGTGATAAAGGGCCCTGCTCCTGCTGGAGAGTCCCAGTGAGCACGTCAGCTTTGACTCATGTCAGGGGAGCGAGAGGGTGGAGCTCGTGGTGGTCACTGGCTAGCGGCTCCTGTCCCTTGTCCAGTCCCCAGTGGCATTTGGCCACCACAGCTGGCACCCATCCGCGGGCCTTCTCCCTGTCTTCCCCATCCAGCAGTCCCACAGAGGCCCGCAGGGCTCAGCTCCCTGCCTTGGAGAGGTTCTCCTGGGGCACCAGGGCAACCTTAGTGCTCCCTGCTGGTGGCGGGCTCTGTCCCCCTGTCACCTGGGTATGTGGTGGGCTTTGTCCCTGTGTCAGGCTGTGTATGTGGTAGGTCTTCCTGTCATTCTGGGCACATGTAGCCTCTGTCCCTGTGTCAGCCTGTGCCTGTGGTGGGCTGACCTCATGTCATCCTGGGCATTTGGTGGGTTCTGTTCCACTGTTAACCTGGGCTGGGGAGGGCCATGCAGTCTGGGCTGATTGGGTGGAACCCTGGCTCCCCCTTCACCTCTGGGGGCCTCTCGCCAGTGTGTGCACAGACGACCGAGTCTGTCTAGACAAGCCTGCCCGGCCGGGTGGGTACAGAAGCAGGACAAGGTTCCTGGAACCGGGCTGGGCTGGGGGCACCCCTGTGGCTGGTCTGCCTTGAACTCTGCGGGTGGGCCTGTCTGCGGCTGTGCAGGCTGGTCAGCCTGCCCACAAAGGCTCTCTGAGAAGGTGGTACCCCTCACTTATTAGTGGGTGGTGGTCGTCTTCCCAGAAGTATGCCCCCATTGGGTGACCTTGGGTGGGTGCTGGGCCAAGGTTTCTATGCTGTGTTGTGGGAACCAGCAAGGTCGACCTCGCCTGACTTTGGGAAGCCTCAAGGGACCAACCTGGTTGTTTGCATTCACCCATTGGTACCGTCTGCACTTTGGGTAATTACTGCTAGGCACTGTGTGCTAAGTGAGGGTAAATGTAGAACTGGGGAGGTCTCAGTTCTCCAGAGACTCTAGCCTCAAAGGAGGCCGACTCAGAGAAAACCAGCACAGGTCAGACTGTGGTAAATGCTGAAAGAGCTTGACAGGCACTTACGACGGCCCTGGGAGTCCAGGCTAGGAGGAATGGGCTCAGAGCCAGGGGCGTAGGGTGTGCTCTGTGGGGTCCCATGGGAGAGGCTGGGTGGGCCTGAGGGGGGAGCATGGCTTAAGCGAGAGCAGGTGGTGGCGGGAGTGGAGCTCATTGAGCGAGGTGGACGGGACTTGCAACGACAGGATGTGGCAGGTGTGGGAAGGGAGCGATAGATGCCAACTGCTAGCATCAGCTCTGGACTGATGCCCATCGCTCCACCCTCTGTCTCCAGGTGAACCTGGCACTCCCTGTGCTCTTCATCCTGGCCTGCCTGTTCCTGATTGCTGTCTCCTTCTGGAAGACCCCTGTGGAGTGTGGCATTGGCTTTGCCATAATCCTCAGTGGCCTGCCGGTATACTTCCTTGGGGTCCAGTGGAAAAACAAGCCCAAGTGGCTCCTCCAAGGCATTTGTGAGTATCTCCCCAATGCAGCCTGGCAGTGAGGCCTCTCTCCATCCCTGCCCGGGGTCCCCCAGCACCCCAGCCTTCTCCGGAGCAGGCTGCTGTCTCATCTAATCCTACAGCCTAGAGCGCGGCTGGGCAGGAGCCGGGGGCTTTTTCATGACGCCGACCAAGGGTTCAGCCACTTGGTGTGTCTGGCGGTGACGTCTGGCCCACGTATTTTAAGGATAAGACGCTCAGCTTGGCACAAGCTAATCTCATAACAAGGGATTCCAGAAAACCAGGCTGCTTTTGCCAAGTAACGAAATCCCACTGCCTGTCGCCAGCTTAAACACAGCGGCTGACCTAGAAAGGCAGAGAAGGAGAAAACAGGATCTCTGCACTGTGGTCATAGGGCCAATTGACAAGCCAAGTTTAGGAGCCTGTACTGAGGCCGCTGTTAATGTGACCCGCTCCTGGAAAAGTCCTTGGTGTTTGCACCCCAATCACCACATCCTAGGTGGCTTGTAAAATCTCCAGGGTGGCCATTCCTGAATTCTGATCGGACCCTGCCCCATGACTAGGACACCGTCAGTCATTTCTGCAGACCTTTGCCTCGAGTCCAGACGAGGCTCCCTGGTAATCATCTTGCAGAGCACTAAAACGGTCCTAAAGCGTGACCCTCTGTCCTGAAATCAACCCCTACAGAGCTTTCATCTGGGCCTCTCATACACACCCGCCTGCTCCACCCCCTCTGCAGGACCATAGGCTGTCATCCAGCAGTGGGCGACCTGGGTGTCTTCCAAGTGGTGGCCCGGGTGTGGGCCCCAGACAGTCCTCCAACACCGAGTCCTCCAACACCAGGACCTATCGTGCCATTGTCGCTCCTAGTGATCTCAGGGTTCTGAAACCAGGGTGAGGCGGAAGGCCAGCACACTCCGCCTGTTGCCCAGTTCCGCGGCCACACCCTGCAGAGCGATTTACAGTCCCTGACAGAGGCTCAGTGTTCCCACTGCTAACCAGGAGTGCAGGCTGGTGCTTACCAGTAGGGAGGCCCACAAGCCCAGTGTACAAATGCTCAGACTTGGAGGTTTCACACCAAGTTCTGGGTTTCTGGCTTCTCTGAGAACCTTAGAAGTCATGGTGACGTGGGGGTCCCTGGCTCCCCAGGCATGTGATCTCATGACCCCCAAATAACTCTACTTTCCCCTCCCCTGCAGTTTCCACAACAGTCTTTTGCCAGAAGCTCATGCACGTGGTCCCCCAAGAGACATAAGAGAGAAGAGCTGGGAAGCGACCGGATGGAAAATGCAGGACGATCGTTTTGAAACAACTCACCCACCTACAAAGCAACTCCAGTCTGTCATCCAGGCAGCTCATCTGAGCACCTCACACTGCCCCTCCACCACGTCAGGTGCGGGGGCTGCTGTGAAAAACTGGTACGAATTTAGTCCCAATAGACGAACTTTTATCAATACCTCCTCAAAAGCGTGAGGCACAAGTGCCGAACTGAGAAGAGGCCGGAGCCCCTGACTGACCATAGACTTACAGACTTTTTGCTATGTTGGGCCCTTTACCCTTCCCACCTTTGTTTTTTTTTGTATTATTATTTTTTTTAACTTAAATTTTGGATCAGGTTGATGCTACCAAGATGATTATTTTTTAAAGAAATGGGGAAGGGCAGGTGGGGAGAGTCTTCTGTCTCCCCTAACTCTGCCCGCAGCATGATGGGCCTCGGAGGGATCAGGTCCTGTCGTCAGGTGTGACCCCCAGGGCCCGTCTCTAGCACAGTCTCGCAGGAGGAGGGATTCTGAGAGCCACACACTCCTGCTGCCAATGAGCTGCTGAGACTCGGCCTCACCATGTGGACAGTAGACTTGCACTAACAGACACGTGTGCTAAGCTTCCTTATTTTTTTGTTATAGATGTAGTGACATTGGGAAAACTAACGCAGGGCTTAACGTTTCTATCATAAAGACCTGAGGAAGATGCCTCCTTAGCCCCCGAAACGAGAGAAAACCTCAGTGAAACAGCTGCTTCCGGAGTGGTTTATAGGAGAGCAAAGGACTTGGGCTGATTCTGTTGCCAGCCCCACCTCCACAGAAAGAGCAGGTTCCTGTGTCTGGTGTTGGCAGCCACTGGGTCTCTGAGCAGGGGTCATGGGCAGCTGGTCCATCCTGGAGTTCTCGTAAGGATGTGCAGAATAGGGCTGGTTTCTGGGTTAGACCCTGGTCGTACAAGACGCCATGGGGCTCCTGGACCACAACCCGAACAAAGGCACAAAGGCAGGAGGATTCAGGCTTCTCCAGGCAGGTGGTGGGCAACACTCTAGGTCTTGCCTGCAGGTAATGCTGCCTCCTGGCACATCGTACATCTGGTTTGGGAACTGACTCTATTCCTCTCAGACGAAGCGCCAAACTTGAAATCTGGAAACAGACAAGATAAGGAGGGCTTCCCATTGGGTTCCAGAAGACGGCCCCTCCCAGGGTGCACAGAATCGGCCTCCCTGGCTGGTTGGCAACCCCAGCAGTCTGTCTGAGACTGGCTCCTGGCCATTGTGCCACCATCCCCTGCCACAACCTATGTAACCTGTCCCAGACTCAATTCCAGACAGAGCCCAGCCCAACTTTGCCCTTCTGACTCTAGAAGCCGCCCTGACTCTCGGGTTTTGACTCCCAGCTCAGCACACCGATCCTCCTTTCCAGAGAGGCTGTGTTAGCAGGCTTTGGTCCATGTGGTTCCCATGGTATTTTTCCCAAGGGAGGCAGCTGAGGCCCAGCTAATGTGTCTGGCGACCGGCTGGCTTTTCTGAGCTGTCAGTACATCCAGGGAGCAGCCTGGGGACCAACATCAGCTAAGGTCAGGTCATCCTCTAGGCCCCTGTGTTAGGGGCCGGGAGAGGCTTGGCCTTAGCCTCTGACCATTGACCTTGCCCCAGGAGGCAGTCGAGCTGAGCTCTCAGGCATCAGGCCTCAGTGCTCAGCCTTGTGAGCTCCGAATGGCCTGTTCAGCTTCTGACACCCCCTTAGGCTTCAAGACCCCCACACGGTGCAGTGGATCCAGAGGAACCTGACAAATAGCTGGGCCTTGAGAATGAAAGGATGTCGGCCAGATGTTCATCCCTCCCCTCCCCACCCCGTGCTGGGAGGAAGTAGGGAAGTAGGGCTGGTCAGGAGACCTGATGGCTCCTGAAGCTTGAGAGCAGACCTCCACAGAAGTCTCCATCCTCCTGGAGCCATAGTTTACTCATCTGGAGTGGAACTTGACATCTGAAGGCAGGAAGTCACAAGACTGATTATTGACTTTGTGTATTGGGCAAAACTTCCCAGGGATAGCCGAGAGTCCCAGGGTTCCCTCTTAACACTGGGGCAGGAACTGAAGGAGACAGTGAGAGGTCAAAGGTGGTTCCGGAATGTGGCTCTCCCCAGCATCTGGGCTGGGACCTCTGCTGTGAAGGCAGGTTGGGGGACCCAGCCCAGCTCAGGGACCCTCTTCAGAAGGCAGGGACTGCATCTCGAAGTGCCGAGTCAGGCCTGCTTGCTGAGCGGTCCACCTGTGGCTATGAGGCTCTGCCCACCCGCCGACACCCTGGGACCCTGCCGTGTTGGCATTTGGGGAGGCAGAGACTTTGCTCTTTCTGACTACTGACAAGTGTCCTGAGCGTTCACATTTGTGGCAGTTAGTTTTGTTTTAAACCAAACCCTCGTATGACCGGCAGGCGTTTGTTTATTCATTTTGCTGTTCCATTTTGTCCTAATGTCTCGCTAACGTAGAGGATGCTGTCAGCATCACATTTATTTATTTGCAGAGTCAATTCAACCTAGCTTCTGTGATGCATTTTCACCATTCTTGCATCTCTGTCATTGTTCCCAGCCACATCATTGCTGCCACTGTGATGTCATCCTGGCCAGAATACCTCTGCCATGAATTGATGTGTAGCTTCAATGTCTTTCCTCCAGTTAATAGCTAACCTGTTAACACTTGGCTGGTTTGGGGTGGGGAGTTCTGTTTTTATGTGTGTGTGTGGGGAGGGGTTTGTTTTTTAAAAAAAAAAAAACGATCAGAATTATAAATACTGCTGGTGGCCTGTGTTCTTTTCTTCACCAAATTCTGGGAGTTAGGAATGGATTGATCGTGTGCCTCTTGGCCCACCTGACTCTTTCATTTATTTATTCACTCACTCACTGACAGACTCCTGGAGGCTGGACAAGGAGGCCGCGGCCCCTGATAACACACTCAATGGGTGGTGAAGGCTGTGAGGGAGGCGCAGGGCTGAGCTAGAATTCAATGTACCTCTTGGGAGGGGAATTGAATTCAAGACTAAAGAGGTGAGTGGAGAGAATATTCTAGGCCCTGAGGTGGGATGAGCTTGGCCATAGGCCTTCAGGTGACTGGTTGCTGCCAAGACCAGTACAAGGAGGTCAGGGAGGAGGCAGACATGCCAGGAGAGAAGGGACAAGCACATTTCCTCAGTTCCATTGCATCCCTGAGAGTATCTGGTCCTGGAGTGGACACGGCTGAGAGTCACACCACCTCTTTCATGGCCCGCTCTCATTTAATTCAGATCAACTCCATTCCAAGCATTACCGTTTGAACAGGGTCCTGAGGACAGGAGGGGTATAGGTGTGCCAGGATGGAAAGGGATTTGCGGAGTGTCCTCATTCTGAACCATGGTGAGGTTACAAGGACTATCCATGGCAGCTGTCCAGTGAGCCCTGGCCAGGGGCTCAAACACAAAGGCTGGGCCTGGTGGCCTCGGGTGCTCACTGAGGCGGCTCCCATCTCTCCTGCAAGCAGTGGGGCTGCCAGATTGGCTTGGGGCAGGGAGTGCCACCTAGAGCCACCTGCAGTGTGCAAAATCCCTCTGAGTGCCAGGTCCCAGTGCTGCTGGCCGCTTGTGAGAACAGCTGGGTCCCCAAATCACCAAATGCATCCTGCATTCTGGACCCCAAAGCAAGGCAGGCCTCCAAAAGAGTACATGGAGGAATTCTCCTTCCTGTATGCTAGGTGGGGGCGTGGAGGTAACAGGTGGGAGACAGGATCGCAGGGCCTGAGTGGCCGGGGGCTATTTGTGCAGGGCCGGTCAGAGCTTGCCTGCCTCGGCTGCACCCATACCCCTACCAGGTCAGTTGCCCACAGTGGTTCTCCTGCCCAGGCTACCAAAGCATCGTGTTGCTCCACTTGGCTGCTAGACCTCTTACTCCAGGAAGCCCAGCTGAACAGATATTCCAGGGGCAGCTCTGTGTGACTGCACAGATCACAATGCATCAAGAAGAGCATTAAAACCCTCTGTTTGCATGGAAACAGGTGGAAAACAAAGAGGCATGAAAGATTGGGAACCTCATCAGTGACCCTTGGTCCAGACCCGTGCGGCTGGCCCCTCCCCCAGCCGGGGACAAGCCTCTCCTTTCACTGTTGCCGATGGAAAAGAGTCTGAACCCTTGAAAGGACAATTCTCAGACAAACCCAAACAAACCATCCCACGTGCGTGGTCAAAGCAGAGCTGTCCAGTCCAGCTCTTTTATTTTAAGAGAGACGGGGATAGTGAGAGAAGATGGGAGCGAGAGAGCTTGAGATAGAAGAGGAAGGGATTGGGGGCAGGGGAGAGAAAAATGTCCACGGGGTGGAGGTGCCAGGGGCACATTTAAAACAGTCAACAATTACTCAACTGCTGTGCGTGGAGAGGAACGTGTGTTTGGAAGAAAAAGAGAAGGGGGAGGCGAAGCTGGGCGGCTCACTGCTACAGGAGGAGACGTTTCCTCATGATCCCCGTATTCTTAGAACATTCTTCCAGGCTCACCAACTTCACCATGTACCTATGTCTGTGGAACCAGTGAAGGGGGCTTTGTGGGGTCACGCCATCAGCAACGAGGCAGGAACCACTGACATGGAAAGCCACCCTTGTCTGTGGAGTTAGCCAGAACCACCACGAGCACGTGGGATTTGGGCAGGCCGTGGGAATGGGAGTGACATCGGGGCCAAGTGGGAGAGCTTGAGAACCTGCAGATGTCCCCAGGACCCCAGAGAGGAAGCAGGGCTTCCACCTCGAGAGCTCTTTTGATCATGTCCCCTGCCTCTGGTCAGGATCCCTTCATGCGTCTTAAACACATGACACTTCTCTGGCCTCTGCAAAGAGTTCATATAAGTCCTTGTGGATCTCCCAACAACCTCTAGAGAGTGGGAAAGTGGGAGGGGCCCTAAACCCAAGTTCGGGTCATTAGTCCACTCCCCACTGGGAGCTGCAGATGCTAACTGTCTGAAGGGGCCCAAGCACCTTCACTCTCCTGCCAGAAACTTCTAAACTCCCCCGTGTGTATGCCCACACCAAACAGGCTGTGTGCTGCCCTTTTCGCTTTTTGGGATGCAGTTCCAGCAAGACCTAGTTCTTTCTCTTCCAGCCAAGGGGTGACTTAATTCTGCAAGTGGAATTCAGTTATGTGATTAAAGTCAAACACTTAAATCACACAAAACGCCTTGGGTAAATAGGCTGGTCACAGAGGCTAGTCTCAACCAGTTTCACTAGAGCACAAATCCTCTGAGTCAAGGATGGGTGCAGAAGGTTCCAAAAGCTTCCCTCGCTGACTTCTGTGCAGTCCGCTAGAGAATGGCGTGTGGCCCCCCAGGAGGGCTCTTACCCGCTCCAAGGGGGACTCCAGGGCCCAAAGTCAAGGTGTGGGTCTGGCCTCCCCACCTCATCATCCCAACCTTTCCAAGCCCTAACAGATGGTGGCTGCTCCATGCTTGATGGAGCCCTGAACCTCTCGGAGAGGCCTCCTTAATACCCCCGATGGCTCCTGATTCAAGGATGGGAAAGAGGCGCATAGGAGACAAAGGGCTGGGCTTGGTCTCCCTGCCTGAGGTTGGGGTGGGGGTGGGTCACACCCCACGTGGGGAGCGTTCTGCCACACTCATGCCCTTGCACACCCCACAAGCTGATTTCTCTAGCTAGCGAATGTTTTTCCAGTTTTTCCAGAGGGCCACACTCTGTCCTTCTGGCATCCCGGGACCTGGTGGCTGCCCTCGCTCTACTCCTCTAGTTGTGACATTTCTCAGGCTTCTGGTACCCTCGTGGGATAGCCCTGCCTCGTTCTCAAAGAACCACAACAAGGAGGCCCATAGTTCCCACTCGTTTCGTTAAAGTGGCTGCTATTTTATTTCTGGATTTGGCTTTGTCCCTCGAGTTGGGCTGCAAATTCCACAGGGAAGGAATTGTCAAATATAACCCAAATCTGTACCAAGTAAGGAGCAACTTTATTGGAAAGGACTACTGCAAAGGAGATGGGCCATCGCCGTGGCGGGGGACACTGCTCTGACGTGAGATGTGCAGTGTCTCGGGGGGGTAGGCAAATGGTCTCCCTTCCATTGGGGGAGGGGACTGGCTAGAAGGGGCCAGGGTGGGTGTGGGGTGGGGGCACCCGGAAGGTGGGTAGAAAAGCTTTCCCCCGAGGCCAGCCTGTTCCAGGAGGGACTGTCTGCTGGCTCGGACTGAGGGGGCCAAGTTCAGTGATCTGGGAAAGCCCCTGAACTTGGTTTGGTTAACTAGCATTTTGTTCCAGTGGATTGGTGGGGGCAGGCAGTTCAGCTCATCGCTGCTGAGGCACAGAACTGGAATGTGAGGATCTGTGTCCTGCCTGGTCACAGATAAACAGGGGCGTTGTGAGTGTCCTCTAGTCGCACAGAGAGGGGCTTCTCTGCGGTGAGCCAGTTCTAGCACACGAGGGAGGGGGGCGTCAGCCTTCCAGGATGGCAGGGCTTGGCGAAGTCCAGTGCTGTCTAAGAAATAGGAATTATTTGTTCTGTTTTCCCTGGGCACACTGCCCCCACCCAGCCACCTATAACCTCTCCCACTGTCCCTTCGCTGAACGACACCCTTCTTTGGGGCTGTAGACATGGAGAGCCCGGCCTTGCTTTCTTTCCTCTTTTCATTGTGAGCTCCTCCTGACCTCAGACCCTGCAGTTACCGAGCTGAGCAGGGACCCTGAATACCTGGGGAATGGCGCAGGAAGAATATTTTCACTTTGTACCCTTTCGTTCCTTTAGAATTTTGAATCAGGTGGATGATTCACCCATTCACAAAAACAATACTTTTTAAATTAGCTTTTAGAAATTAGGAGACTCTCTGGGACGCTGGTATTGGTCTCTAATTTGATCTGGGCGGGTAGAAATTCATTGTGCTTGGCATGTAAGATTTACGCACTTTACTACACGGGATTTTGAAAGTATGCACTAGACACTTTGCTGCCTAGCCTTTGCCCTGATCTTGCAGTCCATTTCTGGGGTACCTTGCAGACACCAGGACTCCGCCCACCTGAAGGTGGGGGTATCGCTGTCCTTTCTTCTCCAGCCCTGGGTGTCTTTGGCCCAGGGGTCCTGGGGTGGGGAGGGAGAAGGACAAAGGACTGTAGTCTGGGCAGACTCAGGCTGGTGGGAAATTCAAGTTTGGGTGGGGGTATTCACTGGCCCTGGGAGTTACCTGCCACACTCGCTGTTTTGGAGCCTTGAGAACAAACTGACAAGATGCTTTAGGCCTCAGACATCTCTGAGATACCAGCAAGCTCAAATTCATTAATTCACTGAAGCCCAGATTCGTTGATTCTGTATTTCTGCTCCCATCTTGACAAGGCCTCCTTGGGAGAGAGGGTCAAAGTGTGTCTTGGGATATTACTGAGGCCACCCTGGAGGAGAGGGTTCTGGAGCTCCAGCTGGAATGGCCTTGGGGCTCCACACCCAAGGCCCCACCTTGCTGACCCTGGGCTCTTGCCGAGTGACTCTGGCCCTGACTGGGCCTGTTTCTGCAGGCTTACTCACCAGGATTCCACATGCTTGCCAGATAACAAAGATGTGTCTCTAGGCTATGATGAGTTAAAATCACAAACTGGGATCAAATGGCTATACCAGGATCAACAGGGCCTTCGTTTTACAGATAGAGAAACTGAGGCCCAGAT